TGGGGTGAGGAGGAGCGCTGGCGTGGAGCTTGTAGTGGCTGTGGAGAGGACCCCTCCTCACAGTTACAGGACAGAAAGGAATACTTGTGGTCACAGGACAGGAAAGGAGTAAACACCTCGCCCCTTATCATGCCACCTTGGAAGAACTGAAAATTTACAGGTCCCTACAAGTATCTCTCAAAACAGCTACACAAACCCCTGAAGCTTGGGACAGTACACTCTCCACGTTGGAAGCACACTCTTACCTTAACAAAGAGTTTAAAACTCAAGTAATTGGCGGGATCATGAGCAAGCGCAAAAAGAGTCAGACTATATTATCTTACTTTGGTGAAAGAAGATCAAAATATACAACCAGAAGAAGACAACAAAGTCAAAGCTCCTACATCCAAAGCCTCCAAGAAAAATATGAATCAGTCCCAGGCCTTGGAAGAGCTCAAAAGGGATTTGAGAAGCAAGTAAGGGAAGTAGAGGAAAAACTGGGAAGAGAAATGAGAGTGATGCAAGAAAATCATGAAAAACAAGTCAACAGCTTGCTAAAGGAGACCCAAAAAAATACTGAAGAAAATAACACCTTAAAAAATAGCCTAACCCAAATGGCAAAAGAGGTCCAAAAAGCCAATGAGGAGAAAAATGCCCTAAAAAGAAAAATTGGCCAAATGGAAAAGGAAGTCCAAAAGATTACTGAAGAAAATACTTCCTTAAAAATTAGAATAGAGCAATTGGAAGCTAGTGACTTTATGAGAAATCAAGACACTGTAAAACAAATCCAAAAGAATGAAAAATTAGAAAACAATGTGAAATATCTCATTGGAAAAACAACTGACCTGGAAAATAGATCCAGGAGAGAGAATTTAAAAATTATTGGACTATCTGAAAGCCATGATCAAAAAAAGAGCCTAGACATCATCTTTCAAGAAATTATCAAGGAAAACTGCCCTGATATAGAACCAGAGGGCAAAATAGAAATTGAAAGAATCCACAGATCTCCTCCTGAAAGAGATCCCCAAAGGAAAACTCCTAGGAATATTGTAGCCAAATTCCAGAGTTCCCAGGTCAAGGAGAAAATATTACAAGCTGCCAGAAGGAAACAATTCAAGTACTGTGGAAACACAATCAGGATAACACAAGATTTAGCAGCTTCTACATTAAAGGAAGCAGGGCATGGAATATAATATTCCAGAGGGCAAAGGAGATAGGATTACAACCAAGAATCACCTACCCAGCAAAACTGAGTATAATCCTTCAGGGGAAAAAATGGTCATTCAGTGAAATAGAGGACTTTCAAGCATTCTTGATGAAAAGACCAGAGCTGAATAGAAAATTTGACTTTCAAATACAGGACTCAAGTGGAACATGAAGAGGTAAACAGGAAAGAGAAATCATAAGAGACTTATTAAGATTGAACTGTTTACATTCCTGCATGGAAAGATGATATTTGTAACTCATGAGACCTTTGTCAGTATTAGGGTAGTTGGAGGAAAAAAATTATATGTACGTATATGTAGATAGATAGACAGAGGGCACAAGGTGAGCTGAAGATTAAGGGGTCATATCTGGAGAATAAAATTAAGGGATGAGAGAGGATTATACTCGGAGAAGAAAGGGAGAGGCAGAATGGGGTAAATTATCTCAAAAAAAAACCAAACAAACCAGAAAAGAAAAGTCTCTTACAGTGGAGGGGAAATGGGGGAAGGTGAGAGGGAATGAGTGAATCTTATTCTCACAGGATTTGGCTTAAGGAGGGAATAACATACACATTCAATTGGGTATGGAAATCTGTCTTACCCTACAGGAAAATAGGGGGAGAAGGGGACAAGAGAGCAGGGGGGTGACAGAGAGGAGGGCAGATCGGGAAAGAGGGTAATCAGAAGCAAATACTTCTGAGGAGGGACAGGGTCAAAAGAAAGAATAGAATAGAATGGGAGGGCAGGATAGGATTAAGGGAAATAGAGTTAGTTTTTCACAACATGTCTACTGTGGAAGTGTTTTGCATAACTGCACATGTACAACCTATATTGAGTTGCTTGCCTTTTCAATGAGGGTGGGTGGGGAGGGAGGAAGCGAGAAAATTTGAAACCTAAAGTTTTAAAAACATATGTTTAAAAAAAAATGTTTTCACATGCTACTGGGAAATAAGAAATACAGGAAATGGGGTAGAGAAGTCTATCCTGCCCTACAGGAAAATAGAAGGGGAAGGGGATAAGAGAAAGGGAGAGAGATAGAAGAAAGGACAGACAAGGGGAAGGGATATTCAGAATGCATGCCATCTTGGGGTGGGGGGAGGGGGGAGATGGGGAAAATTTGGAATTCAAAAACTTGTGGGAGCAAATGTTGAGAACTAAAAATAAATAAATTCATATTTAAAAAAAAAGAAAAAATCCTCCCTGACCTCAGGGAGTTTCCATTCTACCAGGGAAAAAGCCAAGTTCAGGGAGCAGGAGGTCATTTCTAGGGTGGTCTCGGGCAGCTCAAGTCCCTGGAGGAGGACAGGACATGGGAAAGCCACTCTGCAGCAAAGCCCATGTGGCAACAGGCCCTGCCACCTGGCTGCACCTCAGACTAAGTCCACAATGACCAGCACTTATTAAGCATCTACTGTATACCAGGGACTGTGGCCCCTACCCTCAGGGAGCTCAGAGCCTGAAGGGCAAACAACAGGATAAACTGGATGCCTCCTCAGAAGGAAGGCACCAGGGTGAGGCTGGGGCTGGAGTGGGCAGGGTTAAAGGGCAAGCATTATGGGAGGCTCTGGAGCCTTCTGTGACCAGGGAAAGAAGAAACCTTCCTGGGGGTCAGGGGTAACCAGGTGTAGCCCTCTCGGCTCTGGGGAGAGGGAAGGGAGCTTCAGAAAGGAAAAATTCTGCCCGTCCTTGATTTGTGACTTAAATGCCCTGGCCTGTATCAATTCACAAAGCTGAACACGTGGCGAAGTTTAACTCCCAAGACCACGCACCCTCAAAGCACCAGGGGAGATCGAGCGACATATTTCACCTCTTTTTGTCAAACAGCTCCTCCACCACAACACACCCCGAAAAGCTAATTTTACTCATTCCTTTTACAACTACTCTTCAAAAGCCAAGCTGCCAAAGTAAATCTCACTAACTGAACCGGTCAGAAACACCCAGATCACGAGCATTGAATCATGAAACTCCCCCCTCGTACTGCATTGTAAACCAGATATCCCGAAAACTCTTTTCAGATAATAAACGATGTTAAGACAACAAGGGGATGGACTTCTCTGCAGGTGGGTTCACACTGTCTCAGCCATGCCAGAGGGGATGCCCAAAGTAGAGGCCAACAGCTATGTCAATACATACCAAGGGGACGTCGTGTAAGTGGGGTCAGGGCAACCAGAGGGGAGGAATTTGGGGAGGGGGTAGGACCTCAGGCCCTCACCTTTTTTTCCCTGAAGCACCAAGAAGGGGTGTGTGTGTGTGTGTTTTTCGAGAAGCTATATTTAAGAAGAAATCTTGACAGGTACCAGGAATGCAAGACTTTCCGTAACTACAAGCAACAAACAGGGTTCTGAAAGTGGTCAAAGGGCATCGCTCGGGTCTTGGCCAACGGGGCTGGACACAAAGTCAATATTTAAAGGTGGCGGCTGGCAGAGGGGAGAGAGGATGGCTCTGCCCCTTCCCAGGCCAGGGAGACCTTGGTCCCGGCTTGACTCTCAGTGTGCCTCAGTTTCCTTACCCATAAAATGAGGGGGGGAGGGCTAAATGAGCTCCAAGGGGCCTTCTAGCTTTCAAGTCTACAGTAAAAGCAGGTACTGCACAGAAGGAGGGAGATGAGGAGGCTCTGCAATCCTTTACTGGCTGAGCGACCAAGGCCTTTCCATGGGCCTCACCTGTAAGATAAGAGGGCTGGGCTAAACCATCTCAGCTCCTTCCGCAATAAAGACACTCACAAAACAGCCCTCACCTTGGTGCTGCAGAGAGCACACTCTGGCTTTGCCCCTTACTACCTGTGAGACTTTGGGGCCAGTCACTTGACCCTGTCCCCAAGCCTCAGTTTCTCCATTTGTAAACTGAGAGGAGGAACTTCAAGGCCTCTTCGAGTTCTAAATCTATGCCCGGCTGTGATTGGGTCACAAATCACCTCATCTCTTGGCCTCAGTTTCCTCATCTGTAAACTTAAAGGGGGTGTGGTGGACTAGAGGGCCTTTCTGGTGTCTTGAATCCTTCTGGCTCTGTCTACATTTTTGGTCCCATGAGTGCTAAGAGAAGTGTCTTCCTTAGGTCTACTTTGTGAGGGGCTCAAGGGCCTGGGGAGAGAAAGGGGCAGGGGGTGCTGGGAGGGCCCCCTGGGGGGCAGTTCCAGGGGCTCATTAGAGCTATAGGTCGATGGGACCCCAGGAGAGGAAGTGACAGAGTAATTAAAACGTTAAGAGCAGTGGGGGGTGGGCCCGAGTTCCAGGGGAAGACACAGGGGGCTCCGGTGGGCAAGTGAAAAGAAGGGCTTCGGAAGGGAGGGTCTCTTAGGTGGGGTGCAGAGGGCTGGGAGTGTGTCTATGGAGTGGAGGATGCAGGTGTGGGTCTCTGGAGGAGGGGGCACCGGAGAGAAAGAGAAGGAAGGGAGGGAGGGTGAATGAGTGTGTGCCTGCCTGCGGGGGGGGGCCCTCCTCACCTCCTCAGTGAACCAAAGGATTGGGGTCCGCACTAGGCGTCCCTGCGGGGGCGCGCTCGGCGGGAGGAGGGTCTGCACTGGGTGTCCTCGCGGGGGGCGGTGCATCTGCACTGGGCGTCCCCGCGGCTGGGGGCGCGCTCGGACGGAGGGGGGAAGATCTATTACTGGGCGTCCCCGCGGCGGGGGGCGCGCTCGGCCGGGGGGGGTCTGCACTGGGCGTCCCCGCGGCGGGGGTGCGCTCGGACGGAGGGGGGAAGGTCTATTACTGGGTGTCCCCGAGGCGGGGGGGGGGTCTATACTGGGCGTCCCCGCGGCGGGGGGAGGGGTCTGCACTGGGCGTCCCCGCGGCGGGGGGCGGCGCGCGCCCTCCTCACCTCCTCCGTGACCGTGGGGCAGTAGAAGATGAGCAGCAGCGTGCTGAGCACGTTCACCAGCAGCCCGCTCAGGGTGATGGCGTTGGGCGCCAGCCAGAGCGGGACGCGCTCCACCAGCCAGCGCCAGAAGGGCTGCAGCAGCGGCTCGAGCAGCGACGTGCCGGCCGCCGAGTAGCGGTGCTCCTCCAGCCGCCGCAGCTGCGCGGGGCTCAGCGGGGCCGACAGCGCCCACAGCGCCCACGAGCCCGGGCCGCAGTCCGCCGGGGCCGCCGGGAAGCCGCCCGAGCCCGGGCCGCCCTGCCCGCCGTGCCCGCCGCCCGCTTCCGAAGCCGCCATGGCCGCCGCAGCCCCCGCCGCCTCCGAGCGAGCTCAGGACGGACGGAGGAAGGGACGGCGGGAGGCGGGCGCCGACGGAGGGGTGGGGCCCTAGGGGCGGGGCCGTTAGTTGTCTCACGCGAGGGGGAAGGGCTCCGCGGGCGCATGCGCACTGCGCTCACGCGCCTGGCTCGCTGCAGCCCTGGGACCGGGCTCGCGCGCGCCTGCGCACTAGCCTCGAGAGGCCTTCCCTGGGGAGCGCCCCTGGGCTTGGGTACCCGAGCAGAGGCCCCGCCCCCAGGCGAGGTGCGAAAAGCCCCGGAAGGGAAACTGAGGCCCTTGATGGATGGGTCATGGTTTAATCTGTCTCACATTAAATAGGAGCATAGCCCGAGAGCAGGAAGGCACCCCAGAGGTCCAACCCCCCATTTGACAGCTAGGGAAACTGAGGCCCAGGGTGGTCATGTGTCCCATGTAATAATTTAATTTGACCTACATTACAGAGCATCATAGATAAAGGCCACCTAGTCCAGGCTCCTCATTTTACAAGTGAGGAGAGGGAGGCCCTGAGAAGTCCCACGATGAGGGGCTAGGTCTGCAAGGGGACCCTCTGGTCCTTTAGTCCAACTGTAGACCTGCCAGCTGGAATCACCTCTGCAATCCCAGCTCTGCTTGTGCCATCTGGGGTTGGTCACTTCTCTGGGCCTCAGTTTTCTCATCTGTAAAATGAGAGGGTTGGTCTAGAGATGACCTTTAAGAGTCCCTCCAGCCCAAGGTCAACGATCCTTTAAAAAGTGGGTTTTTTGGCCTCTAGTAAAGCTCAATACTGGGTTCTCTGATTGCTCGGAAGTTTTTCCTTACACCGAGCTGAGATCTGCCTCCCTGCAGGTGGTTCTGAAGCCCTGGCACTGATACTTATGATTCCTGGCTGGAAGGCCTGGCATCCTCTGTGGCACTTAACACAGAGCCTGGCACATCGTAGGCGCTCAGTGAATGTTTGTCGGTGGGTTGCTTGGCTTGACTTTGTCTGAGGAGATGGTTAAGAGCTGAGATTTAGGCCTGGAAAGGAACCCTAGAGACCATCTGGTCCCAGTCCATTTTACAGAGAAGCACACAGAGACTTAAGTGATTTGTCCAGTGATTCATAGACAGCAAGAGACAGGGCCCTAAGTCAAGGCCATTGTTCACATAAGCACACGTGTGCGCTTCATCCTTGTGATAGCCCCCAGCCCCCACGGGAGGACACAGAAAAGCTTGACTGGCCGCTCTCAGCACTAAACAAAAAGAGGGTGCCATGTTTTAGCTCTTAAGAAAGGCCTCCATAGGGACCCTCATTCCTCCCTCCTCACTCCGGGAATACAGGGAGCCCTGGTCTGTGGGGTCATGGAAGGTGGGGTAGGCAGTGTCGCGGAGAGGGAGGACATTGGCTGTGCTGGAAACCAGAAAGTCTGGGGCCAGGCCGCACTTGAGGACCTAGAGGACCAAATGTAGCCTTGAGGCTGCAGGTTCCCCACCTCTGGCCCTGGGCTCTTCCTAGTTCTACTGCAGACAAGGTCAAGTTCTCAGGGCCTCTGTTATGAAAGGAGCAGGCTGATTTCTGATCTCTCTGTCTCTCTGTCTCTGTGTCTCTGTCTCTCTGTGTGTCTTTCTTTTTCTCTCTCTGTCTCTGTCTGTCTCTCATCAGAAAGCCTGTGATTCTCTGGATTATGATCCTCTCTGTCTCTCTGTTTCTGTCTCTCTGTCTCTCTCCTCAAAAAGCCTGTGCTTCTCTGGATTGTGATTCTCTGTCTCTCTCTTTGTCTGTCTCTCTGTTTCTGTCTCTGTCTGTCTCTCTGTCTCTCTCTTTGTCTGTCTCTCTGTTTCTGTCTCTGTCTGTCTCTCTTTCTCTCTCTCTATCTCTCTCCTCAAAAAGCCTGTGATTCTCTGGATTGTGATCCTCTCTCCACTTCTCCACCCCTCGATCCCCACACGCCACGGGCACACTGGCCCAGATACCCTCCAGGGCCCCATACCTAACAATGGAAGTGCTGAGTAGGAGGATTCTGTCACAGACCTTCTCTGTTGCACAGCCTGAAATGAGGAGGCCCGCCTGCTTACCAATCTGGCTCTCCACCCCAGGGGGACTGGTGGGCAGTCAGTCTTCCAGGGTGGAGAGAAAGCTCAGAAGCTGCAAAGGAGGGGCTGCCTGTGATGCAGGGGGAAGGCAAGGCTTCCCAGGGCCGCCGGTACATGCATCTCTATCCCGTGGTGTCTCTGGTGGGAGACGCTGATGAGGGCTTCTGAAAGTCGCTCCTGGCCAGGTGGTAGGATGCTGGGAACTGGAAACCCAGTGCTGAAGTTCACAGTTCCTGTCTGACTGGGAGCTGTTCTCGTGTGACTCTTCACGCACTCTCAAGCTCTTCTCCAGCCATTCCTTCCTCCACGTTCCCAAAATGTCACACTTTCTCATAGAGCTGAATCAGGCACAACAGTAATGCATTAAGAAAGGAAGTCCCCGAAGGCCTAACCCTTCTTGGGGGCTGAAAAAAATTGGGAATTAAAAATCTAGAATCCATTGACTACGTATTTTAAAAAATGCAGTTGTATTTTCAGCTCTGAATTCTCTCCCTCCCTCCTCCCCTTGCTGAGAAGGTAAGAAAAACAAAACCTATTACAAAAATGTGTGGTTATGCGAAACAAATTCCTGCATTAGTGTCTAAAATGAGAAGGAAGGAGAGAAGGAAGGAAGGAAAAGAGGGAAGGAGGGGAGAGAAAGGAAGGAGAAAGAAAGAAGGGAGGGAAGGAGGCAGAAAGAAAGAAAAGAAAAAGGAAGAAGAGGGAGGGAGGGAAAGAGCAAGGAAGGAAAGGAAAGAGAAAGGGAGAGAGGGAAGGAAAAAGAGAGAGGAGAAAGAAAGAAAGAAAAAAGGGAGGGAGGGAGGGAGGGAAGAAGGAAGAAAGAAAGAGAGAAAGAGAATCTGCTTCAAGCAGCACTGAGTCGGTCAGTTCTCTGGAGGTGGATATCATGTTTTCTCCCAGGTCCTTTGGAACTGACCAGTCATTGTGTTGATCAGAATTCCTAGGTCTTCCAGAGTTGAGTGTCTTTGCAATTTTGTTACTGTTCTGAGTGGTTCTGGTTCTTCCCCCTTCACTCTATTATCAGTTCATACACATCTTCCAGAATTTTCTGGAGCCTTCCTTTTCCTCCCATTCCTTGTTCAGCCACCCGCAGATCAGGGGCACCCCCTCACTTTCTAGTCCTTTGCCACCACAAAAGAGCTGCGGTAAGTATTTTTGTACAAATGGGTCCTTTTCTACTTTGATCTTTCGAGGTTACAGCCTTAGGGATGGTGTTGCTGGATCAAGGGCTATGCACAGTTTAATAGCTCTGTGGACATAGCTCCCAATTGCTCTCCAATTTGGATTGCTCCAAATTACAGCTTTCTCTGCTAACAGTGCACCAAAGTGCCTGTTTTCCCATAGTCCCTTCAGCATTTGATCTAATAGTTTACAATCTATTAGAGTGTTAATTATTCTTCAAGACAGGTTAACAACGTGACCAGAGAGCTTGCAAAGAGATTTATAATACCGTAGACCTGGACTGCGTCTAGTCCAGCTTCGTCACTTTACAGATGGGGAAACTGAGGCCTAGGAAGTTCAGTGACTTGCCTGAGGTCAAACGGTAAGAAATAGGTGGTATAAACCAGTATTATTTAACACCGTATAGTTAGGATAATAGAATCGTAGATCAAGAGCTTGGAAGGGACCTTAGAGGCCATCTAATGCAATTCTGTCAGATGGGGAAACTGAGGCCCAGGGAGGTTACGTGACTTGTCCAAGGTCATACAGGTAAATACCAGAGATAGGATTTGAACCTAGTATCTCTGACTTCAGCATCAGTATTCTCCATTGTGGTATGAATTTTTAAAAAAATTTTGTTTATATTTTTGTCATATAAAGTTCCCAGGATAAAGTCAAGCTTTCGTGGTCTGGGGACTCCTCCCCGAATCAATCATTTTACACGATTGAAGATCCTTAATCATGATTTCTCTTTTCTCTTCCAGAGGGAAGACCTGAGAGGTGGGGGGCGAGGTGCAAATTAGAACCGCAGCTCTGAGCCAAGGGGATGGCAAATATACTTTTCAATCTGTTTTTGAGAAAGTAATTCCGCTGTTTTAAAGAAAACAGATTGTCAGAGATTCAACTCCTAATCCAATAACTTGCATGCAGAGCTCTGCAACTGCTTGCTCTTTATCTTCCCAAGATGACGGAAGTGGGGATGGGGGCTGGACTCATCGGCCTCTAAGGCCCCTTCCATCTCTAAAGCTATGATGTTATGAGCTTTGTACGAGCTGCACCTACCGGCTGTGTGGTCCTGGACAAGTCACTTAACCACTCCACGAAGCTGTTGATCTGTATTGTTGGAGCTTCCTCATCTGGAAGGTCCCTGAGCCACAGCTCCAGTCTCTGTTCCCAGATGATTAGGTTTAACAAGGTCAGTAACAAAAGTGCCCTAGTCCCCTTTTTGTCCTGCGCATTTAAAAAAAATTAAAGGTCTTCTTCATCATAAACTTACTCAACAAGTACCACAAATATTTCAATGCAAAAAAAAGCAAGAAAGGGATTTTAGTAAGAATCGATGGCCTTCTGTCTCAGGCAGTCATGTCTCGTATGCGGATCTTGCTGTTTCTACATTGGTCACCTCTCCTGATGTTCTCTCCCTTCCTCCTCTGTACCAGCCTCTTAACTGGTCTTTCTGCTTTTAGCCTCTCACTACTTCATTTCCTCCTACACACTGCTGTCAAAATAACTTTCCTTAAGTGCAAATGCAAATTGTTCGACCAGATCCGGTGGTTTCCTATTACTTGTCTTTCCTGTTTTTTTTTTTTTTTGGCTAGGCAGTGGGGTTAAGTGACTTGCCCAGGGTCACACAGCTAGTGAATGTTATGTGTCTGAGACTGAATTTGAACTCAGATCCTCCTGAATCCAGGGCCGGTGCTATCGACTGGGCCATCTAGCTACCCCTGCTATTACTTTTCGATTAAAATACTGTATTAACT